GTTCCCTAAGACTGAATTTTTTAAAAAATTAAAATATAATTCATGTATAATAAAATTCACCCTTTCAGTGGTTTTTAGTCTGTTCACAAGGTTGTATATCCATCACCACTGACTAATTTCAGAGTATTTTTATCACTCCAAAATGAAACCCCATGTGTTTTAGCAGTCACTCACCATTCACTTCTCCTCCCAGTGAGGAGAAATCTTTCTGTCTCTCTGGATTTGTGTATTCAGGACATTTCATATAAATGGAATCACTCGATATGTGGTCTTTTGGTCTGGCTTCTTTCTTTTTCTTTCTTTCTTTTTTTTTTTTAAGATTTTATTTATTTATTTGACAGACAGAGATCACAAGTAGGCAGAGAGGCAGGCAGAGAGAGAGGAGGAAGCAGGCTCCCCGCCCAGCAGGGAGCCCGATTCGGGCTCCATCCCAGGACCCTGGGATCATGACCTGAGCTGAAGGCAGAGGCTTTAACCCACTGAGCCACCCAGGCGCCCCGGTCTGGCTTCTTTCATTGAGAATGTTTTAAAGGTTCATCCCATTGGAGTATGTGTTAGTACTTCCTTTTTTTTTAAGGATTTTTAAAGTTTTATTTACTTTTTTATTACTTTTTTAAAATTAATTATTTTTATTAACATATAATGTATTATTTGCCTCAGGGGTACTAGTCTTGAATCATCAGGTTTACACATTTCACAGCACTCACCATATCACATACCCTCCCCAATGTCCATAACCCAACCACCCTCTCCCTATCCCACCTCCCCCCAGCTACCCCCAGTTTGTTTTGTGAGATTAAGAGTCTCTTATGGGGGGGGGGGCGCCTGGGTGGCTCAGTGGGTTAAGCCGCTGCCTTCGGCTCAGGTCATGATCTCAGGGTCCTGGGATCGAGTCCCGCATCGGGCTCTCTGCTCAGCGGGGAGCCTGCTTCCCTCTCTCTCTCTCTGCCTGCCTCTCCGTCTACTTGTGATCTCTCTCTGTCAAATAAATAAATAAAAATCTTTAAAAAAAAAAAAAAGTCTCTTATGGGGGCGCCTGGGTGTCTCAGTGGGTTAAAGCCTCTGCCTTCGGCTCAGGTCATGATCCCAGGGTCCTGGGATTGAGCCCCACATCAGGCTTCTCTGCTCTACAGGGAGCCTACTTCTCCCTCTCTCTCTCTGCCTGCCTCTCTGCCTCTGTCTGTCAAATAAATAAATAAATAAAATCTTAAAAAAAAAAAAAAAAGAGTCTCTTATGGTTTGTCTCCCTCCCGATCCCACCCTACAACCCAGCAATCACTCTACTGGGTATTTACCCTAAAGATACAAATGTAGTGATCCAAAGGGGCATGTGCACTGAATGTTTATAGCAGCAGTGTCCACAATAGCCAAACTATGGAAAGAACCTAGATGTCCATCAACAGATGAATGGATAAAGAAGATGTGGTATATATAAAAGAAGATGTGATATATATATATATATATATGTGTGTGTGTGTGTGTGTGTGTGTGTGTGTGTGTGTGTGCACTGGAATACTATATAGCCATCAAAAGAAATGAAATCTTGCCATTTGCGACTACGTGGTTGGAACTAGAGGGTATTATGCTGAGTGAAATAAGTCCATCAGAGAAAGACAATTATCATATGATCTCTCTGATATGAGGAATTTGAGAGGCAGGGTGGGAGGCTTGGGGGTTAGGAAAAATGAAACAAGTACTTCTTTTTATGGTTGAACAATATTCCACTGTATAGATGGGTATATCACATTTTGTTTTATCCATGAGTTCATCAGTTGGTGGATGTTTGGGTTTCTACTTTCTAGTTATTGTGGATGTTGCTGTTATGAACATTCATGTACAAGTTTTTGGGTGAGCTTGTGTTTTGTTTTCTTGGGTATATACATAAAGTGGAATTGCTGGGTCATATGATAACTCTATGTTTAACTTTTTGAGAAATTGACAAACTGTTTTCCAAAGAGGCTGCACCATCTTACATCCCCAGCAGCCCTTTATGAGGGTTCCAGTTTCTCACATCCTGGCCAGCTCCTGTTACTGTCCTCTTTTTGATTTTAGCCTTCCTAATGGATATAAGGTGGTATTTCCTGGTGGTTTTGATTTGTATTTCCCTGAGGACTAAAGATGTTGAACATCTTTTCATGTCTCTCGGCCATTGTGTATCTTCTTTGGAGAAATACCTATTCAGATCCTTTGCCTATTTTTACAGTTGGGTTATTTCTCCTCTTATCATTGAGTTGTAGTTCTTTATATATTCTGGCTAGTAGACCCTTCTCAGATACATGATTTGCAAATATTTTTTCCCATTCTGTGCATTTTGCTGTTTCCCATTTTGTGCATTTTAATTTCTGTTTACTTTCTTGATAAGGTCCTTTTTTTTTTTAAAGATTTTATTTATTTATTTGACAGAGATCACAAGTAGGCGGAGAGGTAGGCGGGGAGAGAGAGAGAGAGAGAGAGGAGGAAGCAGTCTCTCTGCTCAGTGAAGGCAGAGGCTTCCCGCTGAGCAGAGAGCCTGATTCAGGGCTCGGTCTCAGGACCCTGAGATCACGACCCGACCCGAGCGGAAGGCAGAGGCTTTAACCCACTGAGCCACCCAGGTATCCCGATAAGGTTCTTTGAAACACAAAAGTTTTAAATACTTAAGAACTCTGATTAATCTGTTTTTTCCCTTTGGTTGCCTGTGGTTTTGTGTCATATCTAAGACACTATCGCCTAATCCATGGTCAGGAAGACTCAACTTGTGTTTTCTTCTAAGAGTTTTGTAGTTTTTGCTCTCATGGTTAGGTTTAAGGCAGAAATTAACTTCTAAATTAGTCATAGCTTCACCAAAGCCATTTTGGACTGACAAGTGTCCTTGCCTTTTTTGTGTGTGTAACTTCGGTATTTTAAGGTTTGGTTGAGGTTTTTTTTGTGTTTTGTGTTTTGTTTATTTATTATATTCAGTTTATTTATTTATTTATTATTTAGTATATTTAGTTTATTTAGTTTAAATCTACCTATCTTTGTACCTAGACCAGAGTGATAACTTAATTTCCACTTATAATAGCATTTAATAAGTTAGTACAACATAGAACTCAAGGAAAAAGTTATTAAACTATTTTCTGGTAAAGAATGTAGCTTGTGGGGGAACCTGGGTGGCTCAGTGGGTTAAAGCCTCTGCCTTCGGCTCAGGTCATGATCCCAGGGTCCTGGGATCGAGCCCCGCATCGGGCTCTCTGCTCGGCAGGGAGACTGCCTCCCCGTCTCTCTGTGCCTGCCTCTCTGCTGTCTGTCAAATAAATAAATAAAATCTTAAAAAAAAAAAAAAAGAATGTAGCTTGTGCAAACTTGGGTGGGAAGGTATGAGAACGGTCACTTTTAAGCCTTGTGTTGGCTGGGATTGAATACAGACTTCTGAATGGAGGCTCGTCTGTCTTGGCAAAAATCAAAGGAGTGCGTGTATTAAATGACTGCTCTTAAAACCTGAAACAAAGCAGCTGGAAAAAAGGAACTTTATGATATTTTAGTATCTTCTTAAAGTACTGTATATGCAAAAACATTGCTAAGTCTGTTCATCCTACCCAGAAAAAGGGTAGAGGAAATAAGTAGATGGCGTTACTTTGGCTGTGCCGTTATAAGGGAAGCAGGACCTGGATATAAATCTCAGTTAAGTTGTTCACTAGCTGTGTGACTTTGGGCAAGTTGCTTAATCCTTCTTAAGCATTAATTTTTGTTATTATTATTATTATTTTTTAGATTTTATTTATTTATTTGACAGAGAGAGACAGCGAGAACAGGAACACAAGCAGGGGGTGTGGGAGAGGGAGAAGCAGGCTTCCCGCTGAGCAGGGAGCCTGATGTGGGGCTCGATCCCCAGGACCCTGAGCCTAAGGCAGATGCTTAACCACTGACCCACCCAGGCGCCCCTTAAGCATCATTTTTTTTAAATTTGTGAAACAGGGATTATGAGAGTCCCTGCCTCATAGCACTGTTGGAGAGTGAAATGAAAGACAGCATACTGTCTTAGTAAGCACTTACTAGGGCACCTGGGTGGCTCAGTGGGTTAAGCCTCTGCCTTCAGCTCAGTTTGTGGTCTTAGGTCCTGGGATCAAGGCCCACATTGGGCTTTCTGCTCAGTGGAGAGCCTGCTTCCTCCTCTTTCTCTGCCTGCCTCTCTGCCTACTTGTGATCTCTCTCTCTCTGTCAAATAAATAAATAAAATTAAAAAAAATAAGCACTTACTAGTAGCTTTTATTATTGCTTATTCAGGGTTAGTGCCTATAATATCTAATTTCTTCTCTCATTTCAGTTTTCTTGTTTCTTAGTCCCTCACATTTTAACCCCAATTTTGAGAAAGTGGTCAGGGGTCAGTATTGTAACAGCATTGCCTGGTAACAGGTGGTAGCTACACTTGTGAGCACAACATAAGGGATAGACTTAAAGAATTCACTGTATTGTGCACCTGATACTAATGTAACATTGTGTGTCTACTCTACTTGAATTAAAAAAAGAAAACATTGGGGTGCCTGGGTGGCCTTCTGCCTTCGGCTCAGGTTATGATCCCAAGGTCCTGGGATTGAGCCCCACATTGGGCTCCCTGCTTGGCAGGGAGCCTGCTTCCCCCCACCCCCCCACCGCCTGCCTCTCTGCCTACTTGTGATCTCTCTCTCTCTCTCAAAAAAAAAAAAAAAAAAAAAAAAATCTTAAAAAAAAAGAAAACAAAAACAGTGGTCAGGTTAATTCTTTTTTTTTTTAAATTTTTTTTAGTTATTTGACAGACAGAGATCACAAGTAGGCAGAGAGGCAGGCAGAGAGAGAGAGGAAGGGAAGCAGGCACCCTGCTGAGCAGAGAGCCCGATGTGGGGCTTGATCCCAGGACCCTGAGACCATTACCTGAGCCGAAGGCAGAGGCTTAACCCACTGAGCCACCCAGGTGCCCCAGGTTAATTCTTTTTTATGGAATGAATTGTAGCTATTAACTTGTTCTGTTATACTCAGTTCTTGTTTCCTTTCTTTGCATAAAGCCGGAATCAATGCAAGTGTGGTCATGCTTCAGGAATCTGAAGTTCATAATTTGAATCATAGGCAACAATTCTGTTATAAAAATGTGCTTATCCCAAAGTGGCATGATGTATGGACACGGATACAGGTAATTTGGAGGCCCCTGACTGGGGCAGCTTCTGTGAGTATCTTGTCTGTATGTGATTAGTGAGTACTTTGATACATTGTCCCCTATCAGCAACCTTGGTGTAGGGTTCAGATTATTCTGAATTGGGTTTTCATCAGTAATCATTTATACTTTTTTCCCCTCTCTGTGTCTGTTCCTTTAAGTAGCTTATAACACTTGACCCTGAGGTAACCTTCCTTCCTCTTTTTCCCAAAGAAACTTCCTTCTTGTCCTCTCTCTCCTTGCGTGCGTGTGCGCACCCGCGCGCGCACACACACGTACATATACATGCGTACATGAACACACGCACGCCCCACCCCCCGCCAGGCCTTATGCCCTCTTTGGCCTGGAAACTGTTGCATGCCTGTCAGGATGTAAACTCTTGCCTTGCTGTTCTTATTCTATTTTGATTCCACACGAAATGTTTCGTAAACCCCATGCCTGAAGTTTTCCCTTGATAGAATGGCTTTGGTTTCATTTATTTCATAACACTATTAAGCCACCTGGCAAGCGAGAACATCTGGCTGTAATAATAATTGAACAAAATGAGTCCTTTTGGAAACGCCGCTGCTGCTGTAAGCATAGTTACTGATAAGAGCGTTTGTTGTTCACATCAGAAACCTAAGGGTGGGCTTGTGGGTTTTTTGAATTTTCTTTATTTTATTGTCTGATATAAAGATCATATTCCATCTGAGACACATTATAACCAACATTTACCCATAATCAGTGATTTGTGACAAAGGGTTGAACTTCTTAGTCTGTCATTACAGAAACATTTTCAGTGTTCTGGGGCTGTTTCTGCCTGGCAATTTTCTTAATATTCTAGAGCCTTGTTTTGTATGATCTCTCATAAATAGCTATAGGGCTAACTCAGCTCGGAAGTCTTTTTTCCTCCTGTGGTGTTCTGCTTAATAGTAGATTCAGATCATGTTAACAACAAGACATTCTAACAGCTGCCTCTGTGTGCTATGTGCAGTGTTATTTGCCCAATTATATTTGAGCCGTTGCATCTCTATATTTCTTATAAGCCTTGTGGAAAACTGGCACTATTACTGATTTAGCTATTTACTCTAAAGGTTTTTTAAAATCTGTATTTATGAAAATTTAAAGTTCCTACTTCTTTCTCATGCTGGTTTTACTTGTGTTACAGATCCGGGTAAACAGTTCCAAACTGGTACGAGTCACCCAGGTGGAGAATGAAGAGAAACTGAAGGAGTTAGAGCAGTTTAGTATCTGGAACTTTTTTTCCTCCTTTTTAAAAGAGAAATTGAATGACACCTATGTAAACGTGGGTCTATACAGCCCAAAAACCTGCCTCAAAGTTGAGATTATAGAGGAAGACACCCAGTACAATGTCACTGTGACCCGGAGTAAGTCTTTCCTCTGTTTTTCTGGTGGATTCTATCGTGAAAAGGGCTTTGGAGAGTGTAATTAGCGAGACAGAGAAGTTAGCTCAAGACAACTCCCTTTTGATTCTGATCATAACCTGAGTATACCACTGTTCCAAACGGTTAAGAGAGTCTCTCTCCTACATACAACACTTTAGGCTTAGAATAAAGACCTCACTTAGGTGGTTCGGAGTACCTCCTTACCTAGGTTTGTGAAGACTTGTGTCCTAATACTTCTAGTGGCCCTGAGCTGATATGCTTGTGTTCTTCAGGGTAAGACACATTTATTCCTGCTCTCTGGGCACTCCTAGACAAAGTTAGATGTCCTGGATATAAAGACCCGTATTTGAAGACCTGAGTCGTTAAAAAATAAAAACTGAAGGCAAGCAGAACTGAATATGAATATTTCACAAGTAAAAAGGATTTGTGGAACCATAGGAAACTATGAAAATCACTGCAGTTGAAGCCTTATTCAGTGGAACCGGGAGAAGTTTTCCCTTTTCTGAATATGTATGAGAAGGTTTCACAGAGGACTAGAATAAGTATCCTGTTGAACTTTCTGACTTTTGGTCTCTCCTTGGTTACTACCGAGGGTCCTGGGATGTTGTGAATAGCAGAAACATCCCTGGGTTTTGCTACAAAATAGGTTGTGCTCTTCTAACTGCCCTATGGTTCCCAGGCTTTTTTGCTTGTATAGAATTTGCCTTTTGGGGTTTTTTTTGTTTGTTTTTGTGCCCCTTTCACATGTACTGATTCTTCTTGCTCCTGCTCTGTTTGAGGGCCTCCCTGAGACTCAGAGCTCTTGAATGTGAATGCTGTGGGAGTGTCTGGTATGCCACCGAGAGGCCTCTGCTCGGGGGCGCCCTCTGGTCCTGGGTGAGATGTGTTTTAGTGTAGGCTTTTCCAACACAGTGCTTGTGTAGCAGAAGGAAGTAGGTGGTGGTGTGGGGCAAGAAAAGCAGCCAGTTAGAGAACAACAGAGGGCCCAGACCCAAAGTTCTAGGCAAATCTGCTGAATCGGAACCCGCGAGAGACTTTTGAGTGAAAGCCGGAGTGGTAGAGACCCCTTGTGGGCGATTGCATGAAGTGCTGAGAGCATTAGGCCTAGCTCTATCTGAAGGAAAGCCTAGTTTCTTTTTTTTTTTTTTTTTTAAAGATTTTATTTATTTATTTGACAGACAGAGATCACAAGTAGGCAGAGAGGCAGGCAGAGAGAGAGGAAGAAGCAGGCTCCCTGCTGAGCAGAGAGCCCGATGCGGGACTCGATCCCAGGACCCTGAGATCATGACCTGAGCCGAAGGCAGTGGCTCAACCCACTGAGCCACCCAGGCGCCCCCAAAGCCTGGTTTCTTTTAGCCTTAGCATAGGTAACCAAAAAAAATATAAGATCTCCAAAAAAGCAGAGGTTATACAGAGACCTACTTATATTTCCTGTTTGGAAGGGTTCCCAGGCTTTGTGTGGCATTTACAATGCTGTTTAGGTAGGTTGTTTGTGTTTATAGTTAACCCCTGAACAGTACGGGGTTGAGATGCTGGCTGATTTACTCCACCCCATCAGTCAAAGATCTGCATATAACTTTTGACCCCCCAAAACGTCATTATTAATAGCCTACCGTTGACAGGAAGACTCACTGATAACATAAACAGTCAATTAATTCATATTTTATATGTTATACATATTATGTGCTGTATTCTTACTATGAAGTAAGCTAGAGAAAAGAAAATGTTACTAAGAAGCCGCAGGAAGAGAAAATGCATTTACAGTACTGTGATGTATTTTTCAGAAAAAGTCTGTATGTAAGTGGACCCGTGCAATTCAAACCCATGTTGTTCAAGGGTCAATTGTACTTTATTAGCTGACCTATAATGCCAACATTGTCTTTCATTCTATAATCCTTTATACTGTTTGTTTTCCTGATCAAACAGAAATCTTTATTTGTTTCAGGATTTGACCCCAAACTCTTCTTCATTTTCCTCCTTGGACTTATGCTATTTTTTTGTGGAGATTTGCTGAGCAGGTAGGTTCCAAGGTTGGAGTGCAGAATGACGAGGCTTAGACCCACCCTGCTTCACTTTTATCATGGGGAAAGAGCTGCCCTTCCCTTTTCCATGAGCTTTATGGCTAGGCCATTCCCTGCTTGGGAAAAAAAATCTTTAAATACTTTAATACATGTTACAATTTTTGCTTTTTTCTTATATTGAACAAGATTGGCAAGAATGAAAGTCTCCTCTTATTTTTTATTTATTTTTATTTTTTATTATTATTATTTTTAAGATTTTATTTATTTATTTGACAGAGAGAGAGAGATCACAAGTAGGCAGAGAGGCAGGCAGAGAGAGGAGGAAGCAGGCTCACTGCTGAGCAGAGAGCCCGATGCAGGGCTCGATCCCATGACCCTGAGATCATGACCTGAGCCGAAGGCAGAGGCTTAACCCACTGAGCCACCCAGGCGCCCCTGAAAGTCTCCTTTTAGGTTGAGCCATCATGTGATGGGATTTAGCCAATACATCACCACCCTTTCCACCATTTGGGATAACATGTTAAGTCCTCCTTTTTCCAGGGCCATGTGTTGGTGAGTTTCATGCCATTCAGAGGTAGAGGAACAAACACCAACCACTTACGCATTTCCTGTTTTTAGGAACCTCCCAGCTAAGCTAGGTAAAACTGACATGTACAAATAAGAAGAAAACACAGGTAACTTAACATTGAACAAATGTAGAATCGACATTAACTTTATACAAAAGTAAAAAGAATATTTGTGGAATAATGACTGAAAGCTACCCATCGGAGTTTGAAGTTGGGCTGGAGTGAGATAGGTAGAAGCGGTTCCTTATTTTGGGGATCCTGAGAGAAACTCAGAGAGAGGGAGGAATGCCTGGCAGGAAGAGCCCGGCGGAGGAGCCGGAGCTCTCTATTCTAGGCCCTGAGTCTGGTCTAGAGTTTATCTTTCTGGGCAGTCAGTCCAGTTCCAGTTTCCAGTGTCCACTCAGGCAGTGTCCTTGTACCTTCTTTTTCCCCAGTGAAGCGGGCAGTTCCTTAGAAGAAAGATTCTCCTTAAAACCGGGTTGGGAGAGATGCTGCGATGGGATTGCGCAACTAGGCAGAGGCTTATTGTCGGCATATGTTTGAGGGGTCTTACTGATCCCCATCCTCCTGAGCCGGCAGCAACCGCATTGTACCAGTCCCGTCAGTGTTCAGACCTCAAGATTTAGACATACACCTGCTCTCATCTGATAGCTTTTTTCTGTCTTTCGGCTGGGTTACTTGTTCTTTTTTTAAAAATATTTTATTTATTTATTTGACAGAGAGAGAGATCACAAGTAGGCAGAGAGGCAGGCAGAGAGAGAGGGGGAGGCAGGCTCTCCGCTGAGCAGAAAGCCCGAAGCGGGGCTCGATCCCAGAACCCTGAGATCATGACCTGAGCCAAGGGCAGAGGCCCAACCCACTGAGCCACCCAGGCGCCCCTGGGTTACTTGTTCTTGTTCGAACAATGCCGTGTGTGAAGACTGCGCACATAGTCACGAAGTAATGTTTCTCTCTGCAGAAGCCAGATTTTCTACTATTCCACTGGGATGAGTGTGGGAATTGCGGCCTCTCTACTAATCGTCATTTTCGTACTGTCCAAGTTCATGCCCAAGGTAAGTAGCAGAATCCTCATCTGCAGTCAGGAGGAACTTGGAAAGTTGAGGGACTATTTTCTTGGATAATCTTACAGCACTGAAAATTTGCATTTGTGGCTGATAAGTTAATGTCCTTTTTCACTGATCTTTTCCTTGATTCAGAAAGGTACTTTCCATGATGAAACTTGGAGTCTGATTGCGTACAAACTCCCCTTTCTTATTTAAAATCCTGTGCACAGTGGGGAATTAAAGTCTCCTTCCTGTTTGCTGATTACATAGCCAGGCTTTTAAGTTATTTAGCACCTCGTTTTCCCAGTGGTCTTTGCACACTGTACCATTTTAAATATAAAGGATGTCTTCTTAAGGGATGTGGTTTTTGTGCATTTTCAGTAGGTTGAATTTTTTAAAAATCGTAGTTCCATTTTGCTGCTTTTATGTATGGAAAGCCTGTTGTAACTTTTTGTTTTCACTTCTACTCTGTCTTAGAAAAGTCCCATTTACGTCATCCTGGTGGGAGGCTGGTCCTTTTCTCTGTACCTCATTCAGCTAGTTTTAAAAAATTTACAAGAGATCTGGAGGTGTTACTGGCAGTATCTTTTAAGTAAGTGTTGTCGGTTTTGCTTTCCTTTTTATATGTTTATAGGTTGTTTTAGTTCATTTGATCCTGAAAAGATGTTGCCTGCTTACAGTCCATGTCCTTTTATTAATCTTTAAGAATCATAGTTCTTCGCTTTATTTCTAACCCTGTGTAGTCGTCACATTAAATGAAAATGGTGCTGCCAGGGAAAAGACTTTAATTGGTTGGTGTGTATAAGTATACCTCTCTTTACACAATAGGCATCTTTCTGAAAAGTTATAAATTGACTTTATTAATAGTATCATATTTTATTTTATTTTTTTTAAAGATTTTATGTATTTATTTGACAGAGAGAGAGATATCACAAGTGGGCAGAGAGGCAGGCAGAGAGAGAGAGGGAGAAGCAGGCTCCCTGCTGAGCAGAGAGCCTGATGTGGGGCTCGATCCCAGGACCCTGGGATCATGACCCGAGCCAAAG